TATCCGTTTTAAACAGTATCCGACTTATAATTTAGTAGTCAAAGGACTATTTAATACATCTATGGAATACTAAAACCTATTTTATTAAACTGTAGTATTAATATCTCAATATATGTGTATAACAAGAAAAAAAATATTGATAATATTAAAGACGTGACAACATAGGCTGGATGAGGAAGGCTCGGTCGACTGTACCCAGAAGTAAACATGTGTACAAAAAATATTGTCTGTCCGCGTTGAGATGTAAATAGTGTAGTCTATATTTTATTTTAAGTCTATGGTTCTAATGGTCACGATCCGCTACTGGGTCTCATCACATCTTGCATCTAGCGGTGGTGCCGATTTGTTCCGCAACCTTTCCAATCTGCAAGGATTGATAAAGTTTGAGTAGCATCCGCGGTGGTACTTAAATTTCTCTTCACTATTCACTGTCAACATTTGTTCGATCCTCAAAATAGTGGCAGCAAAATCAGCATCATGAAGTTCTTTCCGCAAGCCAGCATACTTCAGAAGGGTCTCTTTGCCATGTGTTTGATAATTTCTCTTTCGAACTTTTTTTCTTCTGGCAAATTATGCATAGGAGGTGATTGTACGTTTCAGCTGTATCAGCTAAAGAGCACATCGTTGACGCCATTTCCTGCGAAAACGGCATTATATTAGAAAAAAATACTAAAAGTCACTACTTCGAAGCAAGGTGGTGTAAAAGGTCCCCATTTTACAACTTTTGTGTAAACCCCAGTACAAACTTAGCCAATCGCTTGTGACACAGCGCAGCTACCTATGGCGTTAGTTTGAGTTGCGCCAAATAGATGGCGCTACTTGTAATGATTTTTACTTCCGAATTAAATAAAAATAAGGAGTCTAAAAGGGGGAGGCGAATCGAACGCAAAAATTTTGGGCCCAGATTTCATGATATAAATGAAGTTCGAAAATCGCCGTTAGGGGCGCATGTGATCAAAGAGATTGAAAAATACACAGCTTCTTATGGCAAGAATTACTATTTTGTTAGAAATTATAGAGTTCAGTTAATATTTGGGCATATTTTTACCAGATTTAGTTTTTAGAAACGTGTTTTTTTCTAATTGAACAATGTGCGTGGCTAAAATTGTAAATACAAAACCTTAAATTTGAGTTTGAAAAGTAAGTTAGAAGTTAGGTTATATCAGATGCCGGTTTTAGATATTCTTTTTCTAAGTTGTTATTATAAAATTGTTTCATTATATGGTTCTTTTTAGTGCACACACGGCCGAAGAAAAATATAAGCTGCTAAAATAAATCTTATTACTATTGTACAAAAAAGATAGAAGTTCCAGCCACAAATATCACCAGTTCAACCTTTGATTTGATGTAAACAGTAATTGCTTCCAGAGTTGTTTCTTGATGACAAATGCGAATTAAATAGTTTATGGTGTGTTTATGTTAGTGATTTATTAATAGTTTTTCATAAAAACATTTAAAATTGATATGTTTACATGCCAGTGTGATAGCATTTTAAAAACATTAAAAACTTTCGTAACAAACTAGTAGTGGTTTTACGGCAATTGACAGAAACTGAATCACGAAAATTAAAAGTATTTTATCAGGAATAACTTCAATGGAAAGTGAAGATGAACACTACTGTTGCACCCTTTGATCAGAGAATATGCACATTAAGCTGAAATGTTTCCTGTGTCCGATAGTGTTTTTTCTTTAGATTTTCTGAATTTAAGTTTTAATGTCATTAGCAAAGTTTTGCAAATTGTCACTGTTTCGTAGACAATTAAATTCAAGATGTATTATATTCAATATCATCTAATAATTGTAAAGGTAAATTTTCGTAAATAAAATATTAATGAATAAATAATGAACTCAATTTATTTCAAAAGAGTTAAATTAAAATTAATCTGTGCACTGACAGTATATACAGTACATCTGCTGGATCTGTGTCTATGAAAGGAATGCGGTCAAAAAACATTTAAATAAACAGCAATATATTTTATACGTCGATTTGACGAGTGCGTCACCGCAAATCGCTCCGCCCACTGATTTTATTGGCTACTTGCAAATTTGTTGAATTTTTATTGATCGTCTATTTTTTACGAAAAACATCAAGAGAATATCGTGTCCCCTCTCACGGATACCCCGTAGCTACAGAACGGACAGACGTACTATAATTTGAATATTTTTCTTAACATCTATCCATATTTTTTTAATTAATTAGGTATACCACTTACATTAGGACCTTTGAAAAGGCTTGGGTTTCTTTCACCCCGTTCTTTATTTGTCTTTTTTCCACTGTAAGTTCCACTTATGCAGCCAGGTACGAAGCAAGATCTATCGTTTAGGATTTTTTTAATCATACTCATTGGTACATTGCTAATAGTTCAATAAATTAACTCTAAATTTAAAAAAACTAGTAAAAACACAGTTAAATCGTATACTAACCATGAAAATGATCAATCTCACACGCTTACAGTGCCTCTGGTGTCAAACCGAGAAACTTGCTTTAAAGTAGGGACAGAAATTTCAAATATGCCCATTGTCGATAAATCTCCTTTTTAAAGCCCTCCATAAATAAAAAGAATTCTTAAGAGAACACAACCAACCACTAAAAAATATCCTAAATCAAAAAGTTGTGACAGAGCGCAGTTATGGCATTAGTTTGGGTTGCCTCAGATAGACGGCGCTGCCTGTAACCATTTTCACTTTTGAATTAAATAAAAATAATTTTTAAGAGAACGCAGTCAACCACTAAAAAATATCCATATTTTCCATTTTAAATCAAAAATAGTTCTAAACTAAGAACCGAGCTAAGAACCTACTCAGTTTTGGCGGCCATTTTGGGCGCCATTGTTAAACCTATGCTCTGCAAACTTAAGATGAGTAAATTCTAAGCTTTTGATATTTCAAAATAAACCTTAAGCATACGTTTAAAACACTATTTTAAGTCAACGAACAATGGAGATATACGAAAAAATAGTTTTTGGCCGCCATCTTGGATTCTGGACTTCTGGACATCTATCTGTAATGGAAACATATAATGGTGCGTTTATACTTGAGCACGCACGCACTGATCCTCCGCGAATGCTCAAGTGTAAACGGCTGTGCGCGCACGCTCACTCTGAATATGTCTGTGCGCGAGCAGCCGCGAACGTGAGCCGTCGGGTGTCGGTTTTTCGTCCGTGCTCAAAGGGATTTTATGTGTGTGCGAACGCTCAATTTGGACCGGCAATTTGCTTTGTCTGCGTTCGTGCGTGCGTGTGTGATTTTTTTTCGTTTTCTTTATTAAAATTATGGAGTGGATCAATGAATCTTCGTTATTATTAATTGAAAAATATGAAAAGTTGCTTATATTATGGGTTAATTAAATTAGTTAAACATTCTTTGTATTATTAAAAAATCAAAAAAAAATATAACGCATGGCAAAACCTTGTAAATAAAATTAATATTGAATATGTCGATATTAATGAAATTGCTATTCTAAAATTTGTATCTTTTGTTCGTAATTTTTGGTGTTATTAAATTATGTAAATATTTAAAGTCGGGCCTGGTCATTCTTGTAAAGTTTTTGAACTGATCTTAGCCCTCCTCAGATATTAAGTTGTTGCAGTAAATTATATGGGTTTCTAAAAATTTGGGTTTGCCATCAGCGACGATGTTTTCGATTTTTCTTCTTTTTAATAATTAAGCTGTGCATAACAATGACTTCAGCCTCGACTATTTCTTGGTCGTCCATTATTTTCACCAACACAACTCTGCTGTGCGCGCACAAATGGATCACTTCATTCGTCGAAAAATAAGTTTTTAATTTGAACGGAGCCGCGAGCGCGAAGGAATGCCGTGCGCGCACGCTCAGCTCGTGCGTGCTCAAGTCTAAACGCACCATAAAGTACTAATCGATTACATTTTATAAAAAAAAACATATTTTTGTGTTTGTAGTTGTTATGAAAATTAACCCTTTTATTTTATGTTGTTTTAAGTCTCACATGTATCTACAATACATTGTATCTACAATAATAAATTAATAATATGATACCCCCTTCCCCTTAGTATACTAAGAAAATCGGTAATACAAGAAAATTAATATTAACATTAAAAAAGCGTACTTAAATTGAATTCTGGTTGTCTTGACTTGAAGGTAATTATATTGATTAAATCATTTTACTGACTTAACCCTTAACTGGTCCGGCGTCGTCTGAGAGACTACGCCAAATAATTAACTCATTCTCATTAGTTACTGGGATCGCCCACAGGATTGGCGTTCAAGTTAATCCTGCCCTTCTAGGTCAACAACTGATAGCCATATTTGTGCCCAAACTGGATTAGTTTTTTTTTAAATATTGCGAAAAACATATATATTTGTCATAAGAAATCTGAAAAAAATATCCGATAAAAGGGAGCTCATTTGAGCTTATTACTCTCTTGTGGTATCTCGTATTACGTATGCAATAAGGGTCACTCTATGCATATGAGCAGAATATTTGAGTTGCAAAGAAGGGTTCTTCATATTATATTTGGTTGTTCTTACAGGGAAGATATTAGGAAAAAATTCAGGGAAAACAAAGTTTTAACAGCGCTATCCCTATATATTTATCATACTCTGTTGGCTACATATACAAATTACAGTATGTATTTACAAAATAACAACATACATAGTCATGATACAAGAGGATCAGCTACAGCCTAAATTTCGGTCCCAAATTTTTGAATCACACGCCGCCTGGCGGTCTCAACATGAGTTTAAATAATTCTCAAATCTTATTTCGAAGTCAATCCGTTTTATTTTATAAATAATTTTTTGCTAACTGCCGTATCTAACACAGTCTACGGGAACCAGGGTGTGTGTATTGGGCGCGATGTCCTCACTAGTCCTCACTAAAATTTACTGTATTTTGCCTCCACTGAATTTACAATTTTGCACTTATCTGTATTTTATATTCTTCTTTATCTATTGACGAAGTAAAGCAATGCTAAATTGCATTATACTAATAAGATTTTGATTTGATTATTTGTTTTTTTAGGAAATGATACAAGAAAAGCTGATCGCTATAGAAGAAGTAAATAACATAAGTAGTAAGCATAAGCTTGTCGACTTCGAGCAACTGAAGGCGGAAAATCGAAATTACTCGGACAAGATCGAGGAACGAGAAGAAGAGTTGACGAGGTTGAGAGTCAAAGGCCACAACATTATCCAAACTTTGGCTCATATGCGCGAAAAGTCGGCCGCTTTAGACTGCGATTTGTTCGATCTGAGAGACGAATTGGACAGAATGACTTACGAATACATGGAGAATCGATATTACGTAAACGAAATCAAGAAAAAGAAAGTGGCTACGAGGCAGCGTATTGAAAGGTTCAAAGACTACGACGGTGGTCTTCTAGCTCATATGGATCTCCTGAGTGACATGCAGACAGTCCAACGTCAATTCAAACAATATACCGAGGACTTGCAAGCTTGCAAGAAAGATGTCGATATAACGATCGTTCAGGTACGAAATGCAAGAAAAAATAAACAGAAAATGATGGACGAGATACAAAAAAGAAAAATGTTAAGAAGCAAAGGTGTAAATGTATCGAACAAAATTAGCTCGAAATACAAATATGTAAAGGAAGGTGTATCAATTGCAAAAGTTACTACGCCTCCTGAGGCACTAAGTATATATAAGAGGAGACCTACGTTATATATGCCGATAATAACTGAAAGCAATTTTGACGATTTGGTTACCATCAGGCCGAACCCTATATCACCCACCAGAAGGAAACACAATATTCCCAAGAATAAAAAGAATAATACATAAACTAGTTAAATTTCTACAAGTTTTAATACGCAAAAGATAAAATAAAAAATATATACCACCACACCGCTGTTTTTATTGATGTTGGTCCTTCCATCAACGGCCAGAATTGGGCGACGCCGAAGGCGACGCGCCACGTCGAGAATGTTAAGTCGACAATTGAATTGTTGACGCGTCAACTATGGTGTTGTTTTTATTTTTTTATTCCTAAATATTTCACACGAGTGGTCCGAAATGTGGGAGTTTATCACTGTAGATTGTAAAAGACATAAAATATTTATTTTATAGTTTACTGTCAATTTGTTATATTTAAAGCAGTTACAAGAACAGTAAACTAATCGGATTGCTCATCCTCATAGTACGTTCGCCTCTTCTCGCGCTTCAGCTGACAGTTGTGACGTCATTGTAGTCCTTGTCATGATAGTGTGTATTTTTAGTTGCCTATGGTAAACTTATAAAAATAACAGCTGAGAAATTTTGAGTTAATTATTTTGTCAATTTTAAATGTGAAAAAGGTGTCTTTAAAGTTTTTAGAGCTATAGAATGTATAAATACGTTCAATTTGTGTTGTGGATTGTGACAAAGTGCTTACTAAATGCCTACGATATTGTTTATTAATTATTTTAAAGCAAAATATGGAAGTACTCTAAAAAGAATGCTTGCAAAATGTGATGTTGGGAACGGCTGTTCTTAAAAATGCATTATCCGAGTATTTAATACGATTTATACAGTTAGTTTTCTATACTGCATACATAAAAGGTGTTTAAATAAATAAACTAAATAATGAACGTTTTGCATTCGGCAACTAATAATGCACGTGTGTGTATTATTGGTTGTCGGATAAAGGCTAATAACCATGACAAGGACTACATGACGTCACAAAGGGAGTAGTTTTCGCATGCACCTGGCGGACATTTTTGGCTGAATGAGCAGTCCTATTAGGTTAACTGTTCTTGAACCCGTTACACATACAGGGTTGTTCACCACATACGACACAGAGTATTGTAGCTAAACGATTAGATTTTTACAAATTATAAATTTTAGGTTTGTTGAAGGGCTATTAGAGCTACAATTTATTAATATCTTTACAAGATACAGAGTGTACAAAATAAGTAAAAAATGTTATAGTTGTATTTTTAAATGGAACTCCCTGTATATTATTCTATTTTTAGATTCTACGATTGATTAAGGTAAATTTAATTAAGGTTTATCACACTTAAACCTTACCGTTTCTGAAATATTTTGAATTTTATGAAATTGCAATAAAAATGTCAAGGCTTCATTTCTCCAACGGTATCGAAGTTTTTAATACTCTATTTACTGAAGTTTATTTATTGATCAGATATTGTGTTGCAAGAATAAACAAAATACTATTTTATACAGAGTGTCTAAAAATTTATTATAAATAATTACTTGCTTTAAACGGCAATAACTTGTTTATTTTAAATGGAACACCTTGTATGTTTTACGAGAATCAGATGCATAATTTAATTGTCCATCAAATTGTATTATACCATTTTTTACCTATCTCTTCAAGTTTTCGAAGAAAATGCATTTTCTTATAATTTAGACCTCATTTATCACTATACCCATGGAATATTGACATTTTAGATTTTTTTAATGATGTAACAAATTTTCAAAGAGTACAGATACGAATATTGTCGATATAGTACGCTTATTTCGTTAAAAGATAAAAAGCAGTTTAAATATTTTTTGTTAAAGAGGACTAATTAATATGATCCCGGTATTCAAAGTACATTAATTGACTGTTTACGCTGATTAATAATAATTGCTCCAAATACTAAAAAACTGAATTTTGTATGTGTATTAGACAGTGTGGTAAAAAGTAACACCTTATAAATTTTATTTAATTTTTTGATGAATGCTTATTTATAACAACAGAGACGTTCATTTTCATAACTTATTATGGTATTGATTTCTGAGTCAAATCCACATTTATTTAGAATAATTTATTAATTAAAACAATTAAGTATGTAATTGACTAAATTTTGGACGGAAATAATGGTGGTATATTACTAATTAGTAATAATTGGTATACTTTTTTACAAAGATTTAAATAGTTTTCTTTTTTTAAACAAATAGGCTTGCAATATCATTATTTTTACTACCAGTACATTTTCTACATATGTTGCTTTAAAAAATCTGAAATGTCATTATTCCATGGGTATAGTGATAAATGAGGTCTAAATTATAAGGAAATGCATTTTCTACGAAAACTAGAAGAGATAGGTAAAAAATAGTATAATACAATTTGATAGACAATTAAATTATGCATCTGATTCACGTAAAATATACACGGTGTTCCATTTAAATTAAACTAGTTATTGCCGTTTAAACCTAGTAATTATTTAAAATCAATTTTTTGACACTCTGTATAAGGTAATATAATTTTTATTATTGCAACACAATATCTGATCAATAAATAATCTCCAGTAAATATTTAGTATTAAAAACTTTAATACCCTTGGAGAAATGAAGCCTTAAATTTTTTACTGCAATTTCACAAAATTGAAAATATTTCAAAAACGGTAAGGTTTAAGTGTGATAAACCTTAATCAAATTTGCATTTATTTGACTCGTAGAATCTAAATATAGAATAATATACAGGATGTTCCATTTAAAAAAATACAACTATATTTTTGACTTATTTGGGACACTCTGTATCTTGTAAAATTATTTTTAAATTGTAGGTCTAATAGTCCTTCAACGAACCCAAAACTTACAATTTGTAAAAATCTAATCGTTTAGCTAGAATACTCCGTGTCGTATGTGGTGAACAACCCTATACAGGGTGCTACAAATTCCGGGTGCGAGCATTGGTATCTCGAAAAGCGTAATAGATACGAAGATGGTTATATGGGACAAAGTTGCGCTTTAGGATGTTCACAAAGATGCCATCAGAAAAGTTTTAAAAATCTGAAGGATTGCTGAGTTTCTTGGAAAAAACGGTTTTTTTCGAAAATCAATTTTATTTTTTCCTGTGGTTAATTTTTGGAAAATCAAAAAACTAATTGCTCATTTTCATAGCCACTTTATTAAGATTATCTGATACTATTTTTAGATTTTCAAATTAGCTGATAATTTGTGAGATAGAGAGGCCAAATTATTTTTTTTAAATATGGACCTGCATTTTTTATTTGAAGTTTTGAAAGAACTCGGCCTCCTGAGTACAATGATATGCCACACTTGATACTTTTTTTTTGTTTTGGGTACCTTCATATCAAAACTATTTAATTATTATTTAAAATAATTTCAAGTCCGACTCTGGTTTTTTTTAAATTATTTAATCTGATTATATTCATCGCAACAATATTGATCATCGCTAATTAACATTGAATAGAAAAATCGAGCCAACTTAAAGATTCAAATAAATAATATCCAGGTCAGAAATTTAAAGATATTATTTTTAACTAACTTCTACAAACTAGTTTCTAATGCTCTACATGTTCGAAAGGGTTACCTTTAGTGCACAGAGTTACTTTAATGCACAAATTTATTTTTCGTTCAATCTTACTTATAGCTCTTTGAACATATCTTCTTCTTATACTTCCGAATGCATTTTGCACTCTTTATTGTAAATATTGAAATGTATTGATTTCACTTTTACAAATGGCGTCAAGTAATGCCAATCCCCTTTCACCCCGTGGCGACGGAACGGAAAACTTGCTGGTCTCTACCATTCCTCTACCATTCCCAATCCGTTCGTTCGTTCTCTACCATTCCCAATCCATCTTCCATGGAATTTATTTGATTGTTTATATTATATTTACGTTATTTTTTATTATTTTATTGCATTTGATTTTCTCTTTTTGAATGTTTTACCCCACGTCATTGTTAAGTTTAAAGATAATCAATTGTAACGATGAGTAGATTAAATATTTAAAAAAAAACAGAGCCGGACATAAAATTAGTTTAAATAAATTGTGTTCGAATGTCCGAAATAAAAAAAATATTAAGTGTGGTACATCATTGTACTCAGGAGACCGAGTTCTTTCAAAATCTAAAATAAAAAATGCAGGTCCGTATTTAAACAAATATTAGGGCTATCCGATAGTATTTTTAGATTTTCAAATTAGCTGATAATTTGTGAGATGCAGAGACCAACTTAAAGTGGCTATTAGAATCTGTAATTAGTTTTTTGATTTTCTAAAAAGTAACGACAGGAAAAAATAAAATTGATTTTCAAAAAAATCCGTTTTTTCCAAAAAACTCAGCAATCCTTGGCATTTTTAAAACTTTTTTGATGGCATCTTTGTGAACATCCCAAAGCGCAACTTTGCCCCGATTTAACTATGTTCGTGTATCTATTACGGTTACCGAGATACCAATACTCGTACCTCGAATTTGTAGCACCCTGTATATTAGCAAAGTTTTTTTCAGCCATTCTTTTCCAACTTAACCAGTCACTACTATTATATAAACTAGCAGTATCATCCGCAAAACTGACAATTTCACCCTGTGTTGATATGGATATTAAACTATTTACATATTATAAAATAAATAACAGTGGGCCCAATACTGTACCTTGTGGAACACCGTACACCCAACTGTTTCTGTTATATTATATAACCATACAATATTTCTTCCTTTTCCCTTTCGGTATAATCAACCGAGGCGAATGAGGTGCCCCATCCTGTAATAAACCTTAAATAGTCGACTAAAAAGTTTCGAAAAAGGTCTAATTTTTACACCACTTGACCCTAAAGAAAAAATCTAACGACCTTATGGCTTCACGACTTTCGACCAAACCACAGACCATCATCCCCACACCGGCCGCATCGTCCCGTTCAGGACCGACTCGAGCCCATAAACCAGCGAACCGATCGTGATTTGTGGACGATCGCCTCCCACAAAGCGCGCAACAACGCACGTTCCCCGTATCGCAGCCCGCTAAAGTAAATATTTCTCGCGCAATAAACTTTGGTAATATCTTCTTCTTCTTCTTCTGCTCTTCTATAGAGGAGCGTAGAGGTGGGTTGTTTAGTTCATTTTACTGATTTTCATCATTTAATCTTGGTTACTAAAGCGAATAGTTCGTTTAGTTCATTCAGTTCACTGTTGATCGAGATTAAGGTTTTCGGAACCGGAGCTGTTTTTCCGAATCGGGAATTTCGGTACCGCGCCTCTTTTCGGTACTGACTAATTTTTGTTCAGTGGTGGTGCAGTTCATCAATCAGAAAGCAAGGGATGGTTTTTCAAAGTAAAATGGATAAAAAATTGAGATTTTTAATGAAAATAATATCAACTTATTAAGTAATCAGTCATGAAAAAATTAACATGAACTCAAGTAAAGGAAAAAGTATAGGTAACTTAAATTTCACATCAAACAACATAAACCAACTTAATAGAATTTCCCAAAAGCCCC